TGTGCTAAGCATGGAAACTTCCAGCAGAAAGTAACGGACAGGGTCCTGGGCTCTGGGAATCAGAGAGGCTGAGCTGGACTCCAGTTTCCAGCTCATTAAGCTTGGGGCCTTGGGTCAGTTACTTTACTTGCCCGAGGCTCAATTAACTCATTAGTAAAATTAGGGTTGAGAGCTTTAACGGGCTGAACACAGACCCCAGCGTGCGCCTGGCACCTCCCGAGCCTCCAGAACTGGAGCTCCCGCCACCAGAGTCCAGCTGCGGCCTGCGACTGCGCCCCAATTAGACCTAATGGCCCTGATCTGATTTCCTTCTCACTCTGAGGAAAGTTCTTGCTTCTTTTTATCCCCAGGCATAAGAACAGACACATCCTAAGAATATTTGCTCAAAGGAAACTGCTGCTTTCCTGGCCATCTGCGATAGGTCCGGGGGTTCACGACCTACGAGGTTTCTTCCGGGCGTGTTCTCCTGCCATTCGCCTCCAGCCCAGGGTAAACTGAGGCAGTCAGCACGGTGTCTCTCGGCTTCTCCTCCCCCCACCCCCCCATTGCCAGTGTAGGGTAAATAAAAGGCATCAGGCTTTTCTGCCCTCCTGCCATTAGGATTGATGATGGAACCCTGTGGCCCTGAACGCATGCCTGATGGCGGGCACCTGGCGCGGGGTGTGGGCACGCGTCGGTGGGTACACGTTGGCTGAGACTGGGCTTATAAGGGCAGCGTCACAGACGCCAGCACAGAGCCAAAAGAACGTGAGCGAAAGAGATGCAGAGGTCACGAGAGAAGGCCGGAGAGCCCAGAAAGAGTGAAGACTCGAGGGGGCTGGGTGGCCTGCCAGCCTCCTGGCCCCCTGGCAGCCCTGCCTGCCATGTACCTGACAAATCCCAACAAAAGCCTGCAAAAGCCACCAAGGGCTCCAGGACTCTCCTTTAACCCGTCTGCTCGGGTCATAGAAAACCTGCCCTGTGTCTCCCTGCCGCTACACCAGGTCCTCAGAGCCCCACCACCTACACCACCCTCCCCCCCAGCCCACCCTCGCTGCATCTTCTTCCTCTGCAGTCTGAGATCCTGGCAATCCCTCTAGTGGTAGGAAATAGTATAGAAAATGGTAACAACAAAAACCCAAAACAGCACTCATAGAAAATACAGGGATGCGGCCGAGGTTTGGCTCAACCCTTAGGTCATCCTCTACCAATTTTAAATCCCAAAGGACCTGTGTTTAAAATAAACGAGCACAGGGGCCTCCCTGGTGGCACAGGGGTTAAAGTCTCAGCACTATTACGCGTGTGAGTTCGATCCCTGGCCAGGGAGCTACCCACATGGCGCAGCAGACCTCTCCTGTCTCCCCGCTGCTCCCCTCAGCAGGGGATTTCAGTAGATCTGCTTGTTCTGCTCCCCACTCTGTCTCTGGTGGGTCCTCTAACCCCCCCCGCACACCTCTGGCCTGTACCCCAGTTCTTCTATGCATAAATAAAAATAAATCTTTTTAAGTGTCCTATGCTTTTTATTTGAAGGTGAAATACTAAGCTCATAAAAAAATAAGTTTTATGAAACCTGTCTTTCACATTGAAAATAAATGTTTAAAAAAATAAATACAAATAAACAAGCACATCTACTAGTTGAGATTTGTTAGATTCGCCACCAAAAGCCTCTGCCTTGGATTTCAGAGGCATTTGAGGGGCAGTGCTGCCCGCAGGAGGCACAGGTGCCCAGAGTGGTGGGTACAGAGCCAGGGAGCATTTTCCTCCCTTTGGAGAGCCCTTCCCTCCCCGCACCCCCACCCCCCCGCCTGCCCCTAAGGGTGCCAGCGTCCGAGCTGTGCAATATCCTGCTCTACTATTTTCTAAGGAGCAGCTCACTGGGTTTTCAGGCGCGGTGCCTCCAAATTCCTTTCAACATACGTCAAAAGAAGTCCAAGCAATATACTTGGGAGTGTCCCCAAACATCTAGAAACACAAGGGAAATATCAAACCAGTTATTTGAAAACGAACTAGCTATTTGTAAGTAACATGTTGTTCAGAAATAACTGTGTGCACACATGTAACGATAACACAGTCTCACTGTTTCAAGTTCCTTTCCTCCAGGGGTGCCTCAGCTCCCCACAGCCCGGCCTCTGCCCTGTGTCACCGCCGCTGACATCTAGAAGAGTCGATGACCCGCAGCTGTGCAGAACAGGAACCTTGCAGGGAGTGAAGAGTGCCGGCCCCAGGGGGATGACCAGGCCCAAACCCCGCCTCTGCCCCTCGCCGCCGGGGCCCGTAGACAGGACCATCAGCCTCCTCATCTCCAGGAGGTGGTGGTGATGCTAACCTGGGGGTGCAGATGCACAGGTTGTGGGGAGCCAGGGCAAGGGGGGATTGAAGGTCCATCCCACCCCTGCTTCTCACCCCACCACTTCCCAGCCATCTCCTTCTGCCCGTCCTCTAAAGCCCCAAAGGAGGTTCAGGGACCCTCTCAGAATCCCCAGGGCTGGGGCAGGGTTGCCTTCTGCCAGGGCTGCTGCGTCTACAGCCCCACGGGAATCTACAGGTCAGGGGCCTGCTGGGGTGTGCTGGCTCAGCCCCCATTCTCATCTCCCTCCGGACGCCCCACTGTGCCCCACTTCACCCCACCACAGAGGAGACCTGCTGAAGAATCAACTTCAAAGACTGTTTACGGTACAGGCCAGGGTGTTAGGAGTCACTCAGAATCTGAGGTTCCCCAGAGGTGGGAGCTGGCGAGAGCCTGGCAGCGGCAGCCCAAGCGCTGGCGCTTTGGCTTATGGCATCCTGCCTCGCTGGGCAGAGCGCTTGGGCTTGGCTTCTACCCCTTGCTTAGTGGCAGGGCCAGCGTTAGGAACGAGATTTGGGGGCCCGCGGTGGGCCGTGGCTGCACGCCAGGCTCTGGGAGAGCAACTGGCTCTTGGTTCAGAGATGGTCTCGCTTTGAAGTTGCGTCTGCAGCCGGTGCCTTTCTGCTTCCAACATGTCGTGAGCTCGAAAACCAAAATGCCCAATGCTAGGAAGATGATCCGAAGGCCCGGTGGGGTCTGCAGCGGGGTCCCGGAGCTCTCCTGAGGATGCAGGGCACAGATTTCAGTCCATGGCTTGGAAACATCTTTCAGCTGCGCGGGCTCCTGAACGGAATGGAATCACTCTCAGCATGGGCTGGAGCGCGCTGGGTCGCGGGGCAGCTGCGGTCAGCTGGGGTTCGCACTGGGGCTTGACCCATGTCCCTTTACCGCAGCCCCCCACCCACGATGCACCCAACTGAAGACTTAAAGTCAAACCACAGGTGGGCCTCCCCGGGGGCACAGCGGTTGAGCGCTGGGTTGCGAAGCTGCCCGCAGCCTCTGCAGCGCCAGTTCGATCCCCGGCCACTGGGTGAGGGTCCCACCTGGCGCACAGACCTCTCCTGCCGCCCGCTGCTCCCCTCAGCAGTGTACTTCGTCAGTCTGCCTGCTCTGCTCCCCACTCTGGCTCTGGTGAATTCTCTCACCCTCCCGCGCTTCTGACTGTACCCGGTGCTTGTGTAAATAAATAAATCTTTAAAAAAACAGTCAATCCACAGGTGCCTGACTCCCCCACGCTGACGGGACAGTGCACAGGACACGGACAGGTGACGCATCTCGCCCCCTCGTGGGGGGAAAGCGCGCAGGAACGGGTAACAGCCACAACCCCCAAACAGCGTTCATAGACAATGCAGGGATGTGGGTGAGGCTTGGCTCAACCCTTAGGTCCTCCTCTACCAGACTTCCCGAGAGGACGGCCAGAGACGGCCAGAGGTGCCGCAGATTCCAAGGCAGGATTTTTAAATCCCAAAGCACCTGTGTTTAAAATAAACAAGCACGTCCACAAGCCAAGAGGCCCTGTGCCTTGGCTTCCAGAGGCATGTGAGGGGCAGGGCTGCCCGCGGGAGGCACAGATGCCCAGAGGTGGTGGGTGCAGTGCCAGGGAGCAGAAACGCCCTGGCCTGAGAGACCCTCAGCAGGAGCTTAAGAGGAGCAGGGGGGAGGGAGGTGCTGCCTGCCTGGCAGCAGGGCTGCCCTTACGAGGGTGGGTTTGTGGACCCCTCTGAGCAGGTCTGATGTGCTGGAGCATCACCCCTCTGCTCCAGGCGTCTGTTCCAGCTCCAGGACAGCCCCGGCATGGCGGGTGTCTGAGGGCACGTGGGAGGCCTACCAGGGACTCGTAGCTGTAAGGTCAGGGTCTGTTCTGTACTGGGAACTTGGATCCTGCACATTCCTTCAGTCTGAAGTTCAAAGCAGCCAGCAGCCACAGCACAGCTGGAGAAAGGTCATGTCCTTTACGCCTGACATTCCAGAGTTCTCCTGTCTGGGGCCAGGGGCCATGACGCCCTCGAGACACGAACCGGGCCTGTTTTCCAAACGCGCCTCCATAGTCACAGCTTTGGCCTTCGCTTCCTCCTTCCCACCGCTCTGCTCTCCCGAGAACACCCGAGATCTGCAGCCCTTAGGTGCCGAGTCACAACCCCGCGAGTTCCTCCTCTCTCGGGGCTGTGTCCTGGGCTGTGTGCCCCGCGCCGTCTCGCGGTAAATCCTGCCAAGAAAGCGGTGGGAGCGGGCGACGCCCCGGCCCTCTTACCCCTGCCAAGGGCTCAACCGAGTGACTCTCCCCAGGCTTGGCCCCAGCGTGGCAGAGGCCACTCACGGTGAGTCCACCCAGGTCGGCAGAGGCACAAGCCGAGGGCCAGCCCCCAGCTTCCCTGCACCCCAACAAGCTCATGCTCGTCAGAAGGAAAGAGAAGGGGGAGAGAGGAGGGCGGAGACTCAAGGCCCCAGGAGTGTCCGAGGGCCGCTAGCCAGCTTCCCTCCCGCCCGGCCTCTTCCACGGCCCAGCTCTCCGTGGAGGTGTCCTGGTGACCCGGCACCCCACACAGGGGATGGGGAGACCGGGGGGACAGGGAGATGTGGGTGTGCACAACTCCCTCCTCTGACAACATAGGCGTGCAGGGGGTGTGAGGAGACACACACACACACACACACCGCCTTTCCAAAGACCAGAGACACCCTTTTATCAAAGGCATTTTATTTTAATAAACAAAATACTACTTTTTAAAAGCGTACAAAAATTCACATCATTTTAAGTTAAAGCTCTAGTGGGAGTTTCTCCCCTGACACATCATCCAGTTATTAAGTTTTTCTTTCTTCTCAGCTCTTTCTTCATGGAGTCCAGGCAAGCTCTCATTTAAAATGCAAAATCTAGAAAGAAGTCCAAAGGGATAAGTGTGAAAAAACCAATAAAATAATGTTTCACTTGCTCAGCATTCATCCTTAGGCTCAGCTGCTCAGATTTAATAAACTAGAGGCTCTGAAGTTTATCTGCTAGAGAACGCGCTGTTAGCATCACAATCTCCTCAATTTAAAGTCCCTTGGAGGGCCTCCCTGTGGCGTTAAGTCTCAGCACGGTGCGGCTGTCCACAGCCTCTGCAGCACGAGTTCCATCCCCAGCCAGGGAGCTGCCCACATCCCTGCTGCTCCCCTCAGCAGTGTATTTCAGTCAGTCTGCCTGCTCTGCTCCCCACTCTGTCTCTGGGAATCCTCTCACTCCCGCACCTCTGGCCCGCACCCCAGCTCTTGTATGCATAAATAAATCTTCAAAAAAATAAAATAAAACCCCTTGGCTGTTTGGGATAAGCAGCCAGGCAGGAGGGAGCAGTCCCAGTGAGGGTTGACTCTAGGGGTCGATAATCACCTCTTGGTGCCCTGACATCCCCCCAAGCTTGGCACTTCCCGCCCACTGGTCTGGCAGCTGGGCTGTGCCGGCTGTGACGATGGGTGTGACTCGTGCCTGCTGAGGTCGAGGGGAAGTGCCCTCTGGGCCAGAGGACCAACAAGCAAGGGCTGCAGGGGCACGAGAGTCCATGGGATCAAGGAAGGGCCCCCGGGGCGGGCAGGGGAGGCAGACCGCGGCAGGTGCACAGAGCCCAAATATCTCTGGAAGTCAGCGGGGCTTCCTGGATTTTCTGTTTTGCCTTTCTCATTTTTGAAGTGCTCCATCCTGTGACCTGGACAGGGACTCTACTGACCCGCCAGGCCGCTGCCAAGGGCTGACGAAGGCTGCCCCCCTCCCTCAGCCCCGCGCCCGCTGCCCCTGGGTAGCTGGGTGTGTTAATCTCAGATACAGGGGGGGCTTCAAGGCCCATGACCCCACCTCCTCCTTTCACAGAAAACTGTGTTTGCAGCATGTGTGCTTCTCCAGGGAGAAGGTCCCTGCTTCCAGGGTTCTCCACAGAGCCCCGGACCCAATGCCTGTCAGGGAGCATGGCTGTGGGTGAGGGAGGATCATGCGTCCCGACTCTGAGCAGCGGGTGGGGGCTGCACACCTGCCTTCAATGCAGGGGGACCCTGAGGCCCCGCAGCCTCAGCCCGGGGATGCAGACCTCACATCGGGCCAGGCTGCCCCACCCCCTTCCCTACTTACCCATTCATTTCACATCTGCAACGTCCGGCACCCCGATGCCCTTCAGCTGTCTTTCTTCTCTGACTGCTTCTTCTTTTCAGCTTCCAGCTTTTGCTGCTTTGCTTCCAATCTCTTCCTTTGGTAGATTTTGACTCCGGCAAAGGCCAGGCAGAGAATCAGTGTTTTTGCAGCCAAGATGTAGAGCAGCAGGGGCACGTGCTCAAGAACCTGCAGGCAGAGAGCAAGCATTCTAGAGGCACAGGCCCGTCCAAGCGTGCCTTCATGCACAAGGCTCCCGGGCGCCTGGCACGGCACTGGGCTCAGCGCGGGCACGCAGGGGCCGGGACAGCAAAGCCCCTGAGCCGGCTCTGCCCATCATGGCTCGCAGGGAGGGCCACGGTGGATGAGGAATGCGGTGACGCTGGCCTTTCACGACTTGACCAGGTCACTGGCCCTTGCCGACCCCCAGCCGCCTGCTCCTGAGGCAGCAGCGTGGCCATGAAAGCAGCGGAGCCCGGCGGTGGGGTGGCAGCTCTGTGCTGCTGAGCGACTGTGTGACCCAGTCACTTGACTTTCCTGAGCTTCTGCCTCTTCCCCGCGGATTCGCCAGCTCTAGCACGCTACCATCTCCTCTTGCTTCTGGCCACCCATGAGCACTGGCACATGAAGGTAAAACAGATGTAAAAATAAAATACAGTGACACTCTAAAGATGACAACTTAGCTGCTATTCACTGTTCCTCTGAGTCATTTCCCGCTGGTGGGAAGTTCTAACCCACCGGCTACAACGAAGTCTGGGTTTTGAGTTACTTAGTCTTTGCCCCAGAAGGTGTTACTATGAAACCCCACACACGGCCAACACTACACTAGTTTTTCATGATGACACGATTAGTATGACCTGAATAATTATGAGCTTTTTGTGTCATTTAAAAAATCCCTTCCCTAGAAAAGTGCCTCTGATTCCCACAGGCTGCGCGCACCAGCATTACCTGCACATGCCGCGGGGGGGGGGGGGGGCGCCTGCTCGGCCCTCGCCAGCCTCACTGGCACCAGCAACGATGACCCGGCTACTGACCTTCCCGGAGGCAAGGGCCATCGCTACCTGTGAAGCGACTGGACATTTCTTATGGATGCCCGAGGAGGGTCGGGATGCGGCACAGCAGGAGTACAAGAGACAGCAAAGGAAGGAACACGGCGGCGAGCCTGCTGTAATTCAGTAAAGCAGCAGCAACACGGGCCCGGGGCAACGAGAGAAGAGTTCGAATCAGGGCAGACACGAGCAGCACAGAGCGCCGGCTTGATGCCCAGGTTGCTGGTCCCCGGAACTAGGGTAACCTTCCCAACCACCTGCGTCTCCCTAAGAATCCCGAATTCACCGATCTCCCTGAAGGGTCACGTGTTAGAGAGGAGGGCTGACTGCGGTTATAAATCCGCTATGAAAAAAAAGTGTTGACTGTCATTTTATTTCCCCCCTCAGAGGCCAGCCTGAGCAGTGTGCTGCTGCCAGCCTGTGCTCGCGTTCACTGGGGATCTGCGGGGAGCTGGTTCACGCCAGGAAAAGCTGCTCTTCCAGCCTCCGACTCTCTGGGGATGGGCCTCTGGAGACCCACCAGGACAGAGTCACCGATCCCGGAGGCCTAAACCCGAGGCTGGACTTTGGCAGCCATGGGAATGTCTGTCTAAACCAGCTAGAAACCCCTGAAATGGAAGGACAACAGCAGTGGGCACGGTGAGTGGGATTGATAGTAACTTTCTTTTCAAAGGCAGAAGAGTAGCAAGAGGCAAGAGTTTCAGGCCTGAGAGCAGGCAGAGCAGCAGCAAGGCCCAGGGCACTCCGGGTACTAAAAGGGGAAGAGCTTCAGGGCCTGTGCCCGCCCCTCCAGGGTACTAAGCCTCAGTGCTGCTGACTTCTGACATACCCCTAATTAACTCTCCAAACACAAGAACTCTCGAGGAGATAAATGGACAAAAACATGGATTTCTTTGTAAGATCTTAATCCACTTAAAAATATCAAAATATTCAAGAGTTGGGGAAATTTTAGGGCCTCCCCAGTGGCACAGCGGGTTGAGCACAGCGCTGTGAAGCTCTCCTCAGCCTCTGCAGCGCTGGTTCGATTCCTGGCCGGCCAGGGAGATTCCCACATGGCGCAGCAGACCTCTCCTAATCTCACCCGCTGCTCCCCTCAGCAGTGTATTTTGTCAGTCTGCCTGTTCTGCTCCCTGCTCTGTCTCTGGTGAATCCTCTCACCCTCCCACACCTCTGACCTATACCCCAGTTCTTGTATAAATAAATAAATCTTAAAAAAAAAGTTGGGGAAATTTTAAAGATGTGGCTTTTGCGAGGAAAGTGAGGCTGATCTGAAGTTGGGCACACAGCCTCCCAAGAGCCCTGACTCCTCGTGTGCAGTGAGTGGGTCCAGCCACACGCTGGAAGCTAAAATAAAGATCAGACATGATTAGGATTTCTGCTTAATCTAGTTCTTCTTTTGGATCAACCTATCTGTACAGAACTCTCACTGTGAAATTTTATGATGAAAAAGCAAAAATTCAAGTTGAAATAAATTTGAGAACCATTCTCACCTTCCAGTTCATGCTGGCCTATGTGACTTCACTTCTGATCTCTGGGGGGCTCTGGGGGCGAGCACATGAGCAGGGAGCCGAGGTCAGGTCTCCTGTCCTGGGGGAGCGGGGAGAAGACAGACACCTCAGGAAGACTGTGATGGAAAGAAGGGGGCACAGGTGGGCGCAGAGGGCAGGTTCCGCAGAAGAGCATGGACGTCCCCGCAGGTGAGGGAGCGCCTGGAGGAAAGCAGGCGGCCTGGTGAGGGCTGAGGCGGGCATGGCCCCCGTTGGATTTGTTACAAGCCCAGGCCACGCCAAGGAGACTGGTGGTTTTCTCCTGAGTCCGCGTGCAGTGTAATCGGCTAGGCTGAACGACATTTCCAGAATTCCGTCCCCTTGGGACTCAAGCTAGAAGGGCGGTGCACACATACAAGCCACTTTAATGAATTTGCTTTCCTTTTCTTATCAAATAGGTCTTGTTTAAAAAAATTTTCCACTCTTAAGCAATAATATTTTAATCTATTTAATGCTGTTTTCAAAGACCCACATAATTTGCTCGGGCGAGCTACACAAGAACACGGAAGAGGGGGAGCACGGCCTCTGCACGGAGAACAGGGGATCCCGGGGCAGAGACACAAATGAACGGAGAACCAGTTCTCCTTTTAGGTGGTCCCCGCGGAACAGCACGTGTGTGGGGTGCCCGGCCATTCCTCTCCGCGAGGACACAGCGCGGAAGCCCCGCCTGCTCTTCTCCCCACGCCACTCCTGCCCTGAGCAAGGGTGGTGTGCGGGCCAATGTCTTTCTGTTTCTTTGCTCCTCTGAGTCTTAATTAAGCTCATTTTGGTGTTAAAAACATATCAGGTGAGAAGGCAGCAGATGAGATGAAAATAAAATCTCCCTAAGAAAGCAATTCATAGCTAGAGTTCCCTTGAAGATGGAGGGAGAGCCGGGGAAGGAGAGGCAGAAGGGCCAGGCAGGGCCCAGGCAGGGCAAGGGACGCACTGGGAGGCTCCTGTGTCACTATTTATAGGGCATGACACGTACTGAGAGCTGCGAGACATGCACTCTGGATGAAGGACCTACTCGCTCTGAGGAGTTGCCTCTCAGGGCCTCAGCCCCCTTGTTAGGGAAAAAAGGGGGTGTCAACTCAGTGGACTCTAGCTTCCCTACTTTTGTAAATTCAGAGGCTCACTGGGTACTACCCAGACTACAGCAGACAAACCCTAACACTCCTCCCACCCATAATACTCAGACCTACAGCTTGCGCCCTGCCACTATGGTGCCCACCATGCTAAAGGGCATTAGATGCCTCAACTCAGTCCCACGCCAGCCTCTGAGGGGCAATTTCCTGTCCCCTTTTACAGATAAGGAAACAAAGTCTTCGGGGAACATCCAGGATCACACAGAGGGGACCAGGTTGGGTGGGGCCCATCCACCTGCCCCTCATCCCATCCGGCGCAGGGAGAGCTCTGCATTCAAGTCACAGGGCGATTTCCTTTCAATGTACTTAAATCAGAATTAAAAGCAGCGGGGAATGTCGCAGGCCACTAGGAGAGGGACAATGACATGAGCTTCAGGGAAAATATTTTATGAAGGGCCTCCCCAGTGGCACAGTGGGTTGAGTGCAGCACCGTGAAGCTGTCCGCAGCCTCTGCAGTGCCGGTTCGATCCCCGCTGCCCTCGGAGCAGCCCACATGGCGCGGCAGACCTCTCCTGTCTCCCCGCTGGCTGCTCCCCTCAGCAGTGCTTTTGGTCCGTCTGCCTGTTCTGCTCCCAGCTCTGTCTCTGGTGAATCCTCTCACCCTGGCCTGTACCCCAGCTCTTGTATAAATAAAACAAATCTTAAAAATATATATATTTTATGAAAACTCTCACTTGCACATGCACCTAAACACGAAGTCCACACCTCATCTATTCAAGGTGACAGTATCTTGAGAACACACTGGCAGTGGCGCAGTGTGATTTCCCTACGACTTTCTCAAAGTCACAGATAGGCTCATGTGAGGAATTTAAACCAGAGGATGGTCTAAACAAGCTTGGGAATCAGTATGTTACCTACCTGGAACCTTCAGGTAACAAATCCATCTGCAAGGAGCAGCAGAATCTGACCTGCACCTGGAAAATATGTTCCCAACCTGTTGCTAGACTTTTCCACCTGTTGCTAGAATTTTCACTGAGGGATGAGCCATGATGCAGATTTCACTTTTACAGTACTTTGTAGGCACATAGAATAGGCAAGTTTGGCTGATCCCCACAAATTGGTTGAGGCCAAATTACGTATCCAGTGAGTTGAGGTAGGTCACGTACTGATTCCCAAGATCAAGGACAACCAACAGGTCCAAATAACTTATAAAAGGAAAAAAGTGGTCTGGCCCTCCAGCAAACACGTACTAAATTCCAGTGGGGTGACCTTGAAAACTCTGGGCCTCCCTAAGTCTCAGCTCTCTTATCTGTAAGTTCTCCTTCAGGGCTGCGCTGTAAACACTGAGCACGTGCCCAGCGTGCAGAAGCACCAGGTCAGCGTCCACTGTTATTGTTAGGATGAATCTCTCTCCCTCCACCAATGGCCATGCTGAAGGACATGAACAAGCAGCATCGGGGCAGAAGGCAATCACGGCGAGACAGTGGGGCAGGGTGTGCAGAACAAAGCCGAGGACCAGGAGGACTGGAGATCCAGACTCTGTTTTTGGTGACACCAATGGTGAGACATGTGACTTGGGACAAGGCATGGACCTCTCTGAACCGAGCTGTTGTTGTTTTTAAAAGCAGAATCCCAGGAACAGCTCCCAACCCTGGAATTCCTAAGTCACCATTTCTCTCTGACATCATGGAAGCCAACTGTAAAAACAGACTGGCAGTGGCCTTGACTTCATACCCAGAAGTCAAGGTGCATGTACCCACATATGTGCATGTGCAAGTGAGAGTTTTCATCATACTCAGATGATGAAAGTCAAGCTCATATTAAAGTTAAGTTGTCGGTAGCACAGAATGGGTGTGTGAGGTGGGAGACGTGAGGGCGGAAGGATTCAGCTCACTGCCACCCCACCGCCAATCTGGCACTTCTCTGCATCTCCCTTAAATTACATGCCCCAAGTCAGCCTTTTCTGTAGCACCCTGCAGGCCCTGGGCAAATGAGAACAACTGCAAAGGCTAAAAATATCAGTAGGTTAGTTGCTCTGCCGGTATTAGAAGGCAGCTGGCAGCTGAGGGCTGAGTTCAAGCCAGCAAGATGGAGCCACTTGTGAGAGGCATAAATCCATGAAGTACAAGAAATTTTAAACTTCCCCAGGAATTACCCACAGTCTTTGTGGAAAACTCAAAAATAACAATGGACTGGAGAGAAACAGTTCTATTTTGCTTACTATAAATACATCCTGATTTTTCCTTTGCCAGATTTCTCCAAGAAAACAGAAAAGCCTCATGCACCAGTCTTTGGGTTTGGCATTTAAAACAACACGGACAAGGTGTTGTCCACAATCTATGCTTTCTTCTCAACACACCTCATAAACTCAAGGTTTTGCCTGTCTCTTGGTGTCTAACTCCCTTAAGCTCCGTCCAGCCACTTTGCAGTCTGACCTTTGCAAAGCTGACCTCATTCCCAGTCTCAGTCCCTTTCACCCCTACCCTTCACCCACTCACTTGAAGTGATGTGTCTGGGAAAGGGGTTTGCAGGTGAGTCTCGGGACATCACTGGGCCCGTGAGCCCCAATCCCGGTGAGTGGGAGTCCCAGCGCCAGAGGGGCCAGGGTCAGCAGGACAGCCTCGGCACCATCTCTGCAGCCCAGACTCCACTTCTCAGCCGCTTCCGGGATCCGCCAAACAGCAATGGTGGGGTGCAGGGCCTGCGCTCTCAGCGGCTGGAACCCCAAGCCTTGGTAGGGTGCCCGGGCGCATTGTGTACCCCTCAGCGAGTCGCTAGGCGGCTCTGGCCCTCAAGCCCTGCGCAATCCGCGGTCGGACCCCGCGCGCACCCCCGATCCGCACTCGGGGAGCAACGCCAAGGGGGTTCAGACCCCAGGATGGGTGACAGCCCAGGGCGCCCATGGCTTCCGCCACCCTCCACCAACATCCGCTCACCCGCAAGGCCCTCGGAGACCCCTCATTCCAGCCGGCACCACCCCTCGGGCCCGCCCCACAGCTTGCGGCCCCCGGCGCCAGGTGCGCAGGTTTCGGGGCGCTCAGCGGACGGGCGCGGGGTGGGGGGGCCTCCCCAGGGAGCCTGCGGGGCGCGGCCGGGGATGGGCTATCGGGATCCCGGAGAACGCGACCGCCTGACCGGCCGCCAGACCCCTCGGCCCCCCAAAGCTGTCAGGTTTCCGACCAGGCCCCGCTGACCCGAATGTCACCCACTTACAGCTCCAGGCCGCGGAGACTCCAGCGCGCCCGCGGCCCCCAAACCACGACTCCCACAATGCCGCGAGGAAACTACAAGTCCCGAAAGGCACCGCTCTGCGCGCCTGCGCGGTGTGTCCGGCGCCTGGGCCGCGCCCCGGTCAGCGCGCAGGCGTAGAGGGGCTGCGACGTGGGGTCGCTTGTCCGGGTTAAGGCGCATCTTGGGCAGGGGCTGGACACTGAAGACCTGGTCTCAGGTCCTGTTCTCGTTCTGAATTGTCCGAGCTGGAGGAGGACGGTCCGGGGCCGCTCAGCCCTCAGCCGTCCCGCATTCCTGGGGTGCTGCTCGCTGCTGGCTGCCAAGTGCAGGGTTCATGGTCTCTGACAAAATGCGCGCATCCTCCCTTAGGATAACTAGGGAGGAGGCCCCGGTTCTGGGTGCCCACAGTCCTTCATTCAGCAAATTGTGCAGACTTCGAGAGCGCCCAGACACTGCCCCACGGGAGGGCACCCCGACAGCACTCCACCAGAGGTCCTGGGGCTGGAAACTCAGCTCAGAGCAGACAGGCCCCAAAAATGTGTGTGTGCAGATTCCCCACCAGACCCTGCAGTGTCCTGCCCGATCCCCTGCCCCGCCCTAGCCCCTGCTGTCAGGGCCCTGACACTTGAGGGCCTGCTGGATGAAATGGTTCTGCCTTGGCTGAGTACCTGGGGACTTGGGAGAGCAGAAAAGGGCCAGGCAGGTGGCAGGAAGCGCCAGCAGCCATACAAGACTGTCTTGCCCCTGACTTTCTACCCTCAGCTGCTCTGAGAGTTGATCGTGACCCAAGGGAGGCCGCCCTCCTGTTCCGCTCCATTGCACGCCAGCTCTGCCCACGTCCTGTTCTCTGTTATGACCTGTCACTTGATGGCATCGTGCTGGTTATGAGCCGGCTCTCTCTCCATCCTGTGAGTTCTTCCACTCTGAGAGTCTGATTTCTCCCTAGACTCCTGGAGTCTCACCAGTGACCTCTGACACATGTGCAATATTGCCAGATTGAATTAATGAATGCAGGCATCCCCTGTGCAGGCCAGTATCGTCCTCTATTAATGAAATGGTCTGACAGGAATAAGATGCCTTCCAGGCGCCTTCCTGTCCCAATATTCTGTATCATCAACTCCCAGTGCAAATGTTAAGCATTTTCAACACACACCTGCAATTCAGATGCTTTCTGTATCGTTAGTCTCTTCAAACATAAATGAAAATAAGTAATTGTAAATAAAGGAAAATCAAATCAAGTGGAAAGAATAAATTGTTTCTAAAACAATGTTATAACTTTTCAATATTTCTTTCTATAATAAGAACAGTGAAGGTTAGTTTTCTAGGAAACTTTTTCAATGTTTGTTTGAAAATATGTCTTCGTTGCACCCGTGTTCTTAATGATTCTTCAGGATCTTAAAGATTCTGTTTCTCCTCTGTGGACCATTGGCCCTTATGAAATGCTTGTTGTGTCTTCAGCTATCCAAATATGTTAAATGCCTGGGGAAAAATACACATAAAGTAACCCCACAAGTCTGTCTGTTCATCACTTCAGAGTCTACACTGTTGAGTTAATAAATGCATGCTCCTAGGTCAGCCCAGTGAGCAAATGATAGATTTTTGAACTTCAGCTTCCAGGCAATGCATCCAGGATTTTGATAAATGAATTAGTCCCATACAAATAACATTTCACCAAAAAAAATTCAAACTTTATTCATCTCTCCTTTCTCTCCCCATTGCCACCACCCAGGCACTTTATTTCAAATTTGGCTTAATTTTTGCTATTGGCATTGAATAAAATGCACAGAAGTAAAAGGAGCCTTCCAATTAAAATAATAGTCCAATGAGCAAGCATAAATCACCGGGATTGAAATCTCCTCTGTTTTGACCAGTCAATCACATGATCTCCATGCATATTCTCAACAGAGAGCCAGAAACATCAAGTCTTTTGCAAGATGACAATCTGGATTTGCTCCCTCCCTCTCTGGATGTCGGCTGTTGGGGCTCTGCAACACCATTTATCAAGGAGACATTTTGAACCCTGCCGCCCCAGTGTTCTCATGCACGGTGGCCCTTGAGTCTTCCAGATTCAAGATTTGGCTCTTATACTTCTGATGCCAGTCATCCACGATGTACTGGTGGTAGGGGTCATTGGAATGTTCTCGCCGCTTGGATTTCACCGTGCTCACCAGGATGGCCACGATGATGAAGGAGAACATGCCAATCATCACCATCAGGTACAGGATGACGTAGTTAAAATTCTCAGCATCCACTTTGGCTTGCAGGGCCTCTTGCTCAGCTGTCGTGTTCCTTTGCAAGTTCTCCATATAAGTAATAAAAATCTTTTGGAAGATGTCTTCCAGGATCTGTGTCAGATTGGATGCAGTAGACATCTTTCCCTCCTGCTATAATTTAAATAATAAAATGCATGAGCAAGGTGAAGGAAACTAGTCGCTTCCACATCTTACCTGAAGGGATAGAGAAAGCAGCATGGAAGAAGTGAGGTCTGTTTTCATGTGATTGAGGGCATGATTGGTGATTGAGGGCACTTTTTTGTTCTGTTCTCTTTTGTTTTTTATTTTATCATCTTTTATAGTTTTTTAATTATTTAACCTTTTCTAATGCACATTATGCATTTTTTGTAATGCCTAATGTCGTATAATAAAAGTTGAATGGGAACAGTAAATCTGTATATATAGTATGATCTCAATTTACAAACATAAATACATACATGCATGCAAATGCAAATGAGAAAGATTGAAAATAGTTCAAAATGTTAGTAATGGGTGGTGTGCTCACATTCTTTTTCGTTTTCATACTTTTCAGATGTTCCAAATTTTCATCAACAATCGCGCATTGCTTTGTTTTTAAATAGATCAGTCGCCTCACAAGAGCTGCCTGGCATCACACCTTGTTTTATTATGAACTTGCTACATTCAACAAACATCAGCGGGATGACGCGGTGGCCCACGCGGGTCCCGTGACTTTAGAGAGTATGGGGCAGAGAGAGGAAGGAAGGAGCATTGACGAGCTTTGTAATTCCATCCACCCCCCAAGTCTAGGTTCTCTCCAACTATCCCAACTCTCTGTGCATGGAGAACTGCTGTCACGAAGATAAGTTTCTCAGTCTGGTCTTCTACGCCGTACATTCAAAGAGCTCTAAGCGCTCCTTCTCCTTCCTCAAAAGCCCAGTGGGTTGGAGAGAAATGACGTGTGGAATCTAGAGTGCCCCAGAGTGCAGGCCCACCAGGCCCCTGCCGCGGAACAGCCTCTGGCTTCCCCTTCAAACAGCAAGTCACCGTGAGCAATCTCGGTGGCCTTGGAGTCTGCTCGGCCCTGGAGTCTGCTCGGCCCTGGGGTCAGCTTGGCAGGCAGAGCTGCACTCTCCACCCTTGAGGCAGGTGTGCTCGCCTAGGGGTTCACACTTATTTCACCCCACCCCCACTCTGTCAGGGTTGGTCTTAAGAGGGGGGCAGAGCAGGGTCCTGTCCCCACGAGGGCCCGCCCCCACTTGTCTGCATCTCCCTCTCATGCAGTGAAGACAGCGGTCACGGTGTGGCTCTCTGTCCCCACCCCAGGGGGAGTCTAGTTTCCTTTTGTGAAGCCAATTTGGAAAACAGGTACACATGAAGGACAGAGAAAGAACCAGACGAGCTAAGTTTACAAACTAAAAGGCTGGTGGGCGCAGCGGGGAGTCCCGGGGCCTGGTCTGGGGGAGGCCATGGAGCCGGGACATAGGAGGAAACCGAGAGGGGTCCAGAGCGGGCCCCTTCTGGGGAGAATCAGACCCGATCGTGTGCTCTCCGAGGGGCTGCTGACATAGGAATTATTCTAGTGACTTCTGCTTAGTGATGGGAGTATCAGTTTGAGCAGCCCCATTTGGAATCGGGGCGTCTGCCATGAGGGGCGCAGCTGAGTTCCACTGAGCGCTGGCCTTGCTCGGGTGGTGGGTCATCCCTGCCTGGTAGGGCTGCTGCTGCCGGGCTTCATCCCCTGACAGGCAGAGGCCGCGGCCGCGCGGATCGGGGTACCGTTCCAGGCGATATAGCCAGAGTGAAAGGACCTGCGGGGTTTTAGCACCACGGTGCTGACCCAGGCTGGGAGAGCCAAGTCCAAGAGGATCTGCTTCTTGAACACTGCTGCTGAGACCTGACTGAGCAGCCAGCTGTCCACTCCAGCCCCAGGAAAAGCCAAATCGTGGTGTCTGGAAACAATTTCAAGGATGGGCATGAGGCTAAGACATAGTAGATCTCGGTCTCCGACCCAGCACAGCTGCTTACCCGGTCGGTACTGTGCGTGTCTGGCACACGCCTGGCCCCCTCTACACAGAAGCCCGCCGGTGGGGTTCACTTTAGTCATCTGAAGGCAACGGCTATTTCTGTGCCGTTGGACCATAGGAACGAGGGCTACGTAGGTCCACGACGCTCAACGGCTGGCCATCGCATACGATTTAACCTGAGCTAGGTGGTGGCTCCATATTTCCAGGCACTTTCAGTAAATGGTTCTTGCTCAAAGGACAGGACAGGCAGAGAGGGGTTATCTGGGCTGGCTGCGCAGGCGGCAGGTGGAGTGACAATAGCCCGCAGAGCTCAAGTCACCTGTCCAAGGTCACAAGAGCTTAAATCACCTGCCCAAGGTCACAGTCTGGAAGCAGACCCACATCTCTTCAGGCGAGCACCCAGCACCCACTCTGTCCCAGCAGAGGCCACATACACCAACGTTTACACGGCTGTGGCTGGTCGGCTCAACTGGGAAAAGAAGTGAGACCGAGACCGTGGTTTGAGCTCATGGACATCAGTTAGTTGTGCCCCTTCTTCAGGACACAACCGCTCCCTGTACCCCAGCTGTGCCTGTCACAAATGTGTGTAATTCATGACAAAGGCATGTGGGCCCTGGATCCCCAGGTCCAAAGTTCTCTTTTCTTGAAAGATGATGGGTCGTTAGCATCACCCTGGCCTACAAAAGGCCACAAAGCCTCATTTTTATATCAAAATTCAGAAAAGATATGATTGTCTACATTTACCATGAAACGCTCATGTAGAAAACTTTGAGAATTTTTTTCAAAGGCAATTCCTGAAGAAATGAGTAAGGAACAAGGAGGAGGCGGGACGGGGGCAGGCGGAGGAGATGAGAGAGGAAGGGAGGGGCAGCGGGTGGGGGAGAGACAGGGAGGAAGGACTCAGTCTCATAGTAGGAAAATCATTCCCTCCACAATTTTCTGGAAAAGGCCTGCTGAGAGCTTTGTTACTTAATTCCTCAAGGAATGAAGGCCGCAGTGGAAACTCACCCGGGAGCTCGTGAGCAGTGCGGGACTCCTGCAAAGCCAGGCTGCCCTGAGCCTCCTGCTGGTTCGGGAGCGTGAGCCCTTCAACCCTCGCGTCTGGCCGGCCACGCCCTGGCTAACCACAGGCTGCGATCCTGGGCTTTTATGGGCCCAAATGTTTAATCTAATCTCAGGTGGAAAGTTAAATTCTGAGTGGCGGTCGGGAAGGGATCTGTGCCTGCTGGGTGTGCCCGCTTGTGCCCAGCATTGGGCAGAGGGCACACGTCCACTGCAGGCCGGAGGCGCCGGCCCCAGGCAGGACAGCCTGGGTGTGCGGCCCAGCTCCCGTGGAAGCCGCGTGGAGGGCACGTCCAGGGACAGGGGACGCACACGTGATCTCGGGGCGGCCTTGAGACAAGACCAGCATGATGCCAGGCCGGCATCCCAGTTCTGACCAGCTGCTCACTCGCCTCATTTTATTGAAGTTCCCCTGCCTGGGACAATTCCCAAATGATTCTATAACCACATGAAGTCCTGCAACACAGACGCTGGCCCCAGCAGAGGCGCACTAGGAAAGGCGGGGAGGGAAGAGTAAGGCAAACGACTCACCAAAAGATTTTTTTCTCTCATGGTGGAGGCCCTGGAGCTGGGCAGAGCAGGCTTCGCCCCGTAACAGTTCAAGCTGCCCCTTGCCAAGGGTCATGAGCCAGGTTCTCAGACTCTCCATTGGATCAGCCTCACGTAATCACCGCCACAGCCCACGTAGATGGGCCGTGGACTTTACAACCAAGGAACCCCGCATGGAGAGGCCAACAGGTCAGATGGCGCAGAGGCAGATTCAGGAGCTGAGGAGATTACACCCCCACGCCAAATTCCTGGAAGGGCCTACGCTGGACGAGACTCTACAGCACTGCAGCTGAGCCGTGGGCTGAGGGTAAGACAGTCTTCTCACTAAATGTGCTCTGAGCAATACGCTCTGAAGGACACAGGTGGGCCGAGGAAGTGACCAGGGTCCTCAATGACCAGCAAGTGACAGTAGTTCACATTGTAGCTGTGGCCTGAAGAAATACAAGGATCTCCACAACTCCTCACCAGACTCTCACGACACTGTTGGTCCTAGCAGGTTGCCTTCATTGAGCAGAACAGGGCAGCCTAAAAGAGGGCTGGTTTGGGCTGACAGAGAAGGCGGGAGTGGGACATTCGCATGCCTCCCTGGGAAATTCTGCTGAAGTGACAGCACCACTTGCTGGTGGAAGCAGGGAGCACAGGCCCAGCTCATCCCTAAAGCAGTTAAAGCAGCGCCAGCTGTTGAACTTCTCTCCCTGGAATCCTCTAGTGCAAAGGCATGGAGAATCAAACTAGCGTGCAAGTCTACATTTTGGTCATTAGAGGCTATGTCATAGAGGCTGAAGAGCTTGGCTTTGGAGGCTGACAAAACAAGGAAACAAACTGAGGTTTATCAAGACCATGGAATATTACTCAGCAATCAAAAGGAGCAACAATGTAGATGAATTTCAGAAACATTATCTGAGCAAAGGAGTCCAACCCCAAAGAAGTTGTACTGTATGACTCCATTTCTAGAAATTCCAGGGAGGGCAAAGTAATATAAAGTGTTCGGGAGGAGAGTGGCTATCTCCTAGGGCCAGGTGAGGGGAAAACTGAAGCCAAAGGGTCGAGAGGGAACTTGTTCTGTATTTTGATTTGGTGGTGGTTGTTTGGGGACACACATCGCAAGGCTCATTGACCTGGACATTTAAAATGGGTCCATGCAACTTGATGTAAACTGTCCCTAGAAACCTGTATTTCTGTAGGTGTTTTGTAAATTCGTACTCCAGCCCAATCCTCTCCTCTAAACTTTAGACCCAAATGTCCAAATGCTGACTTGGCATTTCCGCTTGAGTATCTAAAAGGACGTCTCAACTTCAAGGTTCCAAGGGGAGCCCTCAAATCTCCCTTAAATCTCTGCCCCTCCCCTATTCTCCATCACAGTAAAGTGGCCCCACAATTTTCACAGTTTCTTAAGCCCAAAACTCAAGTATGAGCTTTGACTCCTTTTTCCCCCTCCCACCTTCCATGTTCAATTCATCAGAATGTCTCTCTTTGGTGGACACTCCTGGTCTCGAGCAGGTGTGTGAATTCGTC